ATAGGTTTAATAAAAAGTAATACCTATCAAATTATATTATTTAATAGGTTATTACGTATTTTTTCTATTTGATTAAAACGATATGCAAACGTATAAAATTAAATAAATACTTTAGGCTCTGTATATTTGAATTGTAAGGGGTGTCACACGTTGTATACAAATATATAAACTACAGCAAACCAATGAGAATTGCAAAAAAGCCATAAAATAAAGAGATGTTGAAAGTAGTCGTCCCTTCACAAATGTACCTATCTACTAATTAAGAAAACTACTAAGGCATGTTTACTTCCATTTTCCTATAGTGCTCTAGTCAAACAAGTACATGAAAAGTTTATAAAACAGGAAGTGGGAACCCCCATGTTCCCATTGTACTTCCGAAAGAGTGTGCTCCACCCACGCCGGGCATTCTGCCAGCCACTTCAAATTCATTGGCATTACATTCACATGCACTACACTAGCATTCACTGGCATTCTGCCAGCCTGTGGAGCGCCATGTCCGCGGTCTGGCCATCGCAGTGGTGGCACTCAGGCATTGGCTCCTTGCGGGTCAGACACAGGTAATCTCCGAAGCATCCTTCCCTTGTAAACATCTGCGTCAGCCGTTATGAGGGTCCCGTGATGCCTCTCGAGCCAATCCTCCATAAAGGATCGTTCCCTCCACTCGACCTGGATTTCTGGGCCTCGATTTCTCGAGTCTTAGGACTCCGACCACTGCTACAGAGCCGCAAAGGCTCTGTATCAGTCGTAGCCGATGTTCCACAAGAATGGCACTAACACCTACCCCTGTGAAACACCGCACGACATTTCATGTCTACCTACTTGGGTAGACGGCGGCTCTCTCGACAAATATGCCCCAACTATGCGGCAGAGGTAGAGAGTCACTTTGTGATACACGAGCGCCTCCCTGATGTAACTCCAGGGTAAAGTGTTGAACGTCTTGGCAATTTCCAAGGACACCGCCAACACCACTTCAACCCGGGAAACTGTTTCCTCCGCCAGAGCCCTCAAGGGCATGATCGCATCCACGGTGGAGCGCCCTTGACGGAAACCGTACTGGTTGTCCGCCAGATCCGGCCCTACTATGACGAGAGCAACATGGACGTATGGTGAGTCCGTCGGGCGCCCCGTCTTTCGGATGATTGCCCCTCTCGATCGGGGCTCGTGACAAGCAACTGTTGTCTACATACCTACGTTCCTGTAATTTGGTGTCAATATTACGCTTTTGCTGTACTGTAAAACGTTTTTTAAGCACTTAACTTCCTCAATTGGCAGTGAGGAAGTTAAGTGCTTAAAAAAGCTTTAAGGGTTGTTTCCTACCGTAAATACTTTTTTTTTTGTATATTACTATTTCTTGATGTGAACCCACTCCTAACCAGGAATCGAAACGGCGTGCGGTTTTTGGTTCGTTTCGATTCTGACATAATCACTCCCCGGTGGGTGATATCCGAGGGGATTCCCACACAGGAAAAAAGAAGGTGAAATAGTCGACATGAATACTAGTTATACGTAATGTCTGTTTATAAGAACAAATAATAACATATTTTGATTGAATAATGTTTATTTAAAAAACACACACGTCTACAAAGCGTCTTGCAATAAATAAAACTGCAGTAATACAACAATGTAATTTGAGAGAAGCAGTATCAGGCTCAGAGGTAGTGAAGCGTCCACGAAGAACAGACCACAGGCGCTCATTTTACTAAACGAGGTACGGCTCAGGCGAATTATATTTTTGTACAGACGCTTTTCAACATCTGTAAAAAAAGCTAAGTAAGAAATGCTATTGTTGAAAAGAAAAGTAACAATTTATTTTTTGTTGAAACTATAACTTCTTTAATATTCTTTAATATTAAGCATCATATCTCATAAATATTGTAATAAAAATACTTGAAATATTGTGGTTGCATGGATGAGAAATGAGGAATAAAATTTACGCGAAAAATAAATATAAACAATCATTGAAGAGTGTTGTATATCTTATCAAAATTTGCGCTCAATCGGTGCAGAGCTTTTTATGTTTTTGAAGCGTACACGAACCAACTTACCCTTTTTATATATGTAGATAAACACAACACAACTGTTAATTAGCCATTGCAGTTATGAGTTTTCATTTCAAAGAGGTTTGAAAAGTGTATTTTCTCATTCAGGTTATACCTGAACATTAATATATTATGTACGAGTATATAATCACTCTAATGCATAAGGTAGAGCTCAATGTGTTTAACATGCTTTACTTATCATATTTTCCATGGAAATAGAAAATCAGTTTAGGCACCAATGTAAATAACACAACACAACTCTTTCGTCGTAACCTATCTTTGCCGCATTTATTTTAAATTTTGTATTAAATTTCTTAAAACTGAAGACTTTACACATATCTATGTCTGTGTGGTGGTGACCAAACTTGCGACAAACACAAATTCTGTCCTAATTTGTCCTCGATGGGAATCAAAATCGCGACCTCTGAGTTGCAGGAGTTCATGGGCGGCCGTGGTTACTATCCATAAGGTCTGCTCGTCTGCTCCCTCTTCCATAAAAAAAAAGTGTTCAAGACCACCAACCACCAGAATAATAGGACATATTAATGGTCACTAGGGTGTCCCTTATATGGGTGAAATAAATATTTCTTAGATATCGAAATGCATACCCCCATATTTCTTTTTTGACTATCTTACTTAAATACCAAATTTTATCTTCCTACGTCAATATTAACCCTTGCCGATAGAACGCGTCCCGACAGAAGATTTTGACCCTTTTTAAACCCTTTCCGTTACGTAGCTAAATCGATTGAAATATTTAATTTTTATCAAATATTTATTAAAAGGAGATAAAGTTACAAATCAGGCAGAATATTTGTTTTTGAGGATCTCTTTTTAGCATCTGGATACAGATTTCGCTACGTATACTCCTGAACGTAGCAAAAATTGCTTTTGCTCTTCCTTTGCAGTGATCAAACCATGAAAATCTTGCATAAGCTTTACAGCTCTTTCAGATGTATCATTAACTGCCCTTAAAGAAAGCAATTTTCTTTTTGCCTCTAAATAAGCAACATCTTTATCCCATGTGGGAACAGTTCTCTGGAGGAAATTCTCATCAATTTTTAATAGAGAAAATAAATTTGTGCTCACACAAAATCACTTAATGATTTTCCTGCAACAATAATTAAGGCAGTGTTATTATCAATTTATTGAAAACAGTATAAAATTGTATTATGTATTGTATTCCTACTTACCATACAAATAATCAGACATATCTTCTTCAGATGGAATGTATCTCATCCCAGAATCATACAAACTGTCTCTTTGTAAGCTACTACTAGTACTACATTGTTCGTTTTGGTTTGTTCATTAACTTCATCATCAAAGAGTGATAAAACGGCAATTTATTCTGACAAATACCGTAGATGTTGACTAAACTTGCTCAGGACTGCTTTGGAGATCAATTTGTCAACAGTTTCATATTCCTTAAGCTTCTTTAAAAAGCACAAATCTTGATTTGATGCCATCATCGCCAAACTACATCCAAGCCATGGTTTCACATATATTAAATGACTAAACAGACGTCTTAAAGTTTATCCTTGGCGCTAATTTTTAGTTGGGGTTGGAGCAAATAAATCTTTAAAGAGTAAATACCTCTAGCCATTCACCTTGCTTGATGCATCGCCCAGGAGGTCTAATTTTAATTTTTTTTTTCACTATGTCCTAAGAAAATACTAGATTAGTTCCGGATAATCGTCACGTACAATGTTTTTTTTTGCAGTTCTTGATTATAAAATGTCAACAAATCTTCTATTGTTGTATTACAAATGTCGTGTGACGATATCGGTGTATGTTTCAATGGCAGCAGGATTAATAATTTTCCAGTTGTCTAATTTTCCAGTTGTCTAAATTTCTAATTTTCCACTTTTTGAACAGTGGGCAGGGCATATCAGGGCTACTTGTGACTTGGTGGATTTTTGTTTCGACCATACATTTTAAAAGCAGTTCATAAACGTGATGGCGGCAAGGAAAGAGTAGTAATTCGCTGTCTAGTTTTTTTCCAAAAGTACACAAGCTCCTTTCAATAGCCCTGTATTAGACGCAGTTGTGTCACAGCACATTATTTATACTTTGTCATCGAGGTTCCAGTCATAAAGTGCGTTCAACTCGGCTCTCCAGTTTTGGTGGCTGTATCCTGAAGTTCTTCCTTTTCTACAAATGAAATTAGAATTGGCAGGCGCTCTTCTTTAGGACTTTTCACGTCAAGTCCAGGTAATAATTTCCCATCCCAGTAAACGGACACCATTTTAGGCACATTATTCTGAAAATCTGATTGTATAGATTCCGCTCTATCTTTTCTACTCTGTGTGCGAATGCGTTGAATGGACGATTGGTTTATCGGAAAATCATCACAGATAAGATCTAGTGCTTCTACTACAGCCTGAAGTATATAGACAGAATCCCTTATGCTGAATTGATATCTATCTAAAGCTGCAATAAAGAAGGCCCAAACCTCCTTTTTAAAGAGAGGCCTATGTCCACCAGTGGACTATTAAAGGCTGTTGATGATAATTGATGAAAGCTGCAACTAACTTAGGCGAGATAAAGTCTTTCCTTCCTCTTTTTGTAGTAGTTTCAGAACTTACTATTTGAGAGGTGGATGGCAAGGGTTCCTCGACGCTTTCATCAGAGCTGGTAAGTTGATCGTGATGTCCTTGCATTTATATAGAATCTTACGTATTAAGAGATGATAATAAACCTCCAAAACACATATGCTCATATCTTTATTTTCTCTTCAATACGTGTTAATCGCGAGAATAATTGAGAAAAAATGACAAATACCGCAAATACGCACCGCTACTACCGCGCAAAATGTGTAAACATGATACGATGCAAGTCGGCACGGGTTATCGTACTCCAAATGAGGTAAAAAAATATTTCCGAGTGTTTTACAGGCAAATGAACCAAACTAAAACTTTTGCGTTAGAAATTTAAAACTTTCAAAAATAAGGGTCACACCGGTTACCCATCAAAAACTTGAACTATACCTGTGCAATCAGAACTCATCAAGTGGATGGTACAGGCTCTTTCGATTTCTTCACAAGCTCCATAAAATTTCTCGCAATGCAAAGATAATAGCACAATTAAGGTTAAATTCTTTGCTAATGTTAAAACTGTTCCTGTGAGTCCAATCGCCAAAATTATCTAGAATTAATTTTGCATTATAAACTTTACAGTTGTAAATTGTCAAAGAACAGTACCTAAAATGATATAAGCATCTAGTAAAATACTTTTAATTTTGATTTTGATGTAAGTGTATACTGATGGGCCATCAGTTTACATTTACATCATTAGTCATCAGTGATGACTAATGATAAATGATTAGACGCAGACGATGGGTGCCATTCAAACCAACGACTGCGGCAGTGCTGTCAGCAGTGTAGCCCCCTCTTACAGTGTACCTTAACGAACCGTGATATTGAGTGCAGCAAAGTGATGGCTGTGAAGAACAGTTTTATTTCTGATGAAAATACTTAGTAGCATGTGAAATTTTAAGTCTTTCCACAGAGTGTCATTTGTCACGAGTGCTGTGTTAATATTCTATTATAACAATTTTACTTCAAAAAGAAGGATTGGCGTCAGGCAAGCGGTTGACTATAGGAGAAAAAAGTCAACACCATTTTGCAATGAAATGTAAAGCGTGAAAGAAGATATGGCCAGAAAAAAGTAAGCAGTGATCTAATGAGTGATAGGGGCGAGTGGCAGAAAAAACTCACTGCGCCAACCACAAATACATTTTGTAAAATGGTAAGAAGATGATGAGTACTGAACATCAAAGTTTTTTTATGAAAAATGAAAATGAGTTGTTTATGAAAAGTGAAAGTAAGAATAATAGGAGATGCGACATCGACAAATATTTAAATTGAGAAAGGGTAGGAAAATAATGAACTGATCCGTCGCGTCGTGAGAATTAAATAGAATAAATATCAACATTCTTAGAATTATAAATTTATCAATGACTTGGTAAAAAAGTAGACTAAAAGCACACAGGGCTTCACGAATTACTACTTACAGTTTTACGCCAATTTGTATATAAATTTTCTGTTTCCAAGTGCATTTGGATATAGATTAAACTTCGGCAGAACGTGCTAGCAGAGTGAAATAGCGCCTGTAAACAAATCATGAATAGATATTACAAAATGCTGTAATAAGTAGTACATGACATCAGTACATCAGAGGAAGGCTGAAACTTGCACCAGTAGACGAAAAGTTGAGAAGCAACAGATTATCCTGGTATACATGTGATGCGTAGGGATGAGCAAAATGTAGCAAAGTAGTAAAGAAAGTTATAAGTGTGGAAGCTGACGGATAGAAGAGTAGAGGACGGCCAACGAAAAGACGGATGGACTCCGGGGAAGAGGATATGGCTAGGAAGGGAGTAAGCGCTCTGACCCGTCCAACTACAGGACTATAGCCATAACTCCTTTGTTCTATAAGATTATGGAATCCATTATCAACAGCCAGCTCCTCCGGTACTTAGATGATCACCAACTACTCAATGACCGACAATATGGTTTTCGCCGGGGTCGCTCAGCTGGTGATCTTCTCGTCTTTCTAACACACCGGTGGGCACGGGCGATCGAGACCAAAGGAGAGGCTTGTGGGGTTAGTTTGGATATAGCGAAGGCCTTTGATCGGGTCTGGCATAAGGCGCTTATCTCGAAACTCCCTTCCTTTGGGCTGCCCGAGAAATTGTGTAATTGGGTCAACAGCTTCCTTACGGACAGAAGCAGTAAGGTGCATGCTCCGACTTGCAATTCGTAAATGCTGGTGTCTCACAAGGCTGTGTGCTATCGCCCACACTGTTTCTTCTGCATATCAATGACATGCTGCAAACTAGTAGCATCCAGTGCTATGTAGATGATATCACTGTAGATGCCCTTTACACCGGCCGCCCCAACATTTCTCGGGAAAACGTAATCGAGAGTCGTAACAAACTTGTGTCTGAAATTGAAACTACCTTAGCGGAGGTTTCAGATTGGGGCCGACTAAATCTAGTCCATTTTAACCCAAAAAAGACACAGGTTTGCGCGTTCGCCGCAAAAAAAGATACCATTTGTCGTATCACCTCAGTTTGAGAGCACCTCCCTAACTGCCTCAGCCAGCATCAGAATCCTAGGCATCGACATATCCAGCGAAGTCCAGTTTCGGGGTCACTTACAGGGTAAGGCCAAATCGGCCTCGAAGAAGCTCGGTGTGCTGAACAGATCGAGGCAGTATTTCAATCCGGCCTTCAGCTCTATAAGGCGCAAGTCCGGTCCCATATGGAATGCTGTTCTCATCTCTATGCAGGGGCACCTCAGTACCAGCTTTTCCCTCTGGACCGCATCCAACGAAGAGCGACTCGAATCGTCGATAGCCAAAAGATTTGCGACCGGCTAGATTCGTTGGCGTTACGTAGAGATGTAGCTTCACACTTCATTCTCGCATATATTATGGAGAGTGCTCCGAGGCATTATTTGGACTAATACCAGGCGCAAATTGCCGTCATCGTTCCACACGGCAAAATTTTCATCCTTATTACCTGGATAGCTGGCGCTCCACTACTGTGCGCTTTTCGAGACAATTTTTGCCCCGCACAACCAATGTGTGGAACGGGTTATCTTCTGCTGTATTTCCGGACCGATACGACCTTCAAACCTTCAAGAAAGAGCGTACTCCTTCCTAAAAGGCCGGCAACGCGTTTGTGACTCGCGAGTTGCAGACGTTCATGGGCGGCGGTGGTCACTTTCCATCAGGTGACCCGTCTGCTCGTCTGCCCCCTCTAACATAAAAAAAAAGCAGTGAACTGTCGAGTAATAGAGGAGAATAGAAGAAGAAAGCTCACTACGCCGACTCCAAATAAACAAAAAAAGATCACAACATAGTATTTTTGTTACTGTTTCACTTTGTCTACCTTTGCTGTCTACTGCTGACAAACCATCACCAGATCAAGAGTCTAGTAAAGCTACACATTTTTTACAACCCGCAGGAAAGTTCCTAGCATCCGAAAAGTATCTGAGTGTTGTGAACTGATCAAAAGTAGACGAAACAATTTGACGGTGAACGATTATGATTTATAATTTTATTATTTCTTAAAGAAAATACATAATTACCATAGTTTTAAATATCTCCTTGTACAAACTGTAAGCCTGTATAAGTTTTTCATACGTTTCTAACACTTGAATGCTGTTCTTGTCGTGACCGAGAATGTGATTTTTCCAATTTTTCAAAAATATTCTTAGTAGTCTTATGATTTGTATTGCATAAATTACATTTAAGCAGATAATTTCCCATAGCATACTTACAAAAATTATAATAATATCAAAAAATTCGACTTTTATACTTGCAAATATCATCAACAGAAAACCCATAACTAATATGGTCAAACTAGATATCCAGTTGCAAATAAAGAAACGCTTTTTGTATTTCTTACTTATTATAATTCTTTCGTCAAGCATTTGAATTGTCAATATTAGCAATATATTATTTTCACCATGTAAAATATTCAATATTAAAACACCAACAACTTCAAATGTCAACAAAACTCCATTAAAATACATTAAGAAACTATGAGTACTGGTTATAAAAAAATTTACTGATAACACAACGTCAGTGTATACGAGTCTGTACCAATATATGACAAATAAAATTGTCATAATCAAAGATATTGTAATATTAAATTTCTTGCCGTTGGGGTAAATAAAGTTGTCTTTTATTTTAAATTTAAAAGAAAGTAAAATACTCTGAACCAAATAAAAAGGATAGAACATTTTCTGGATATCATTTTTCAAATTATTCTTCAACAAAATCTCTTGAGGTACAGTGAAATTATTGATTGATAACACTTTGTACTTTATTCTATTTTCTGTACTGACTATAGAATTTACCATTTTTAAAGTAACGTGTATTACTTACTCTCTACTCTCTACTCTTCAGTGAACGAAGCCAAATGTCAGAGCGGAACAAATATTATTTTTAGTTATTGACCTATTAGGCTAAATTGGATTCTGTTATTTAGAGAAAAATATTAGTTCAGAAACAAACATCGATAACCATAATGAATTACATCCAGTACATCAACAGAATTTGACAGAATATGTTTTCCATAAACACGTTAAACAAACACATTCTTATGAAAATGGATGTCTATGCTGTGCAAGTTTGAAATGTAAGGAGTGTCACTTTTATGTGTTATACAAATATGTAAACAAAAGTAAACAACTGCTAGACATTTAATATTCAAGTTCATACAATTAAGAGTTTTAAATTTTGAGTACTTTTTTTTTCATTTTGAATTGGCGATATAGGGAAAATAATAGTATTTACTAGCTTAAAGTACCCCATTCTTAATCGTCGCAAGAATGCTGATCAAATGAGTAGCAAATATTACTCTACTTTAAGTCATTTCAAATATACTCATTAAGCTGGGCTTTTTTGCCTCCATTTTAACGTACTGCATTTATCAAATTCAATTAAAAAGAATAAGTTAATAAAAAGTTCAAAAGATCTGGACAGCCATAAACTTTATGTTAAGTATATTAATGGTACACATTAATATACCGTCTTATACTAAAGCAATTCGGCGATGCATAAAAAAGTGAAAGCGATGGAAAACCTAAAATCAATAAAAGGTGACCCGGCCGTTTGCCCCCTCTTCCATAAAAAAAAAAAAAAAATTTCGCTTCTCAATTAATGACTGACCTATAATGTTTCCTATAATTCACTTAAGTGCGCACGGTGAACAAAGTGTGTTTAAGTTGTATGGGATATTCATCTAATTATTACGCAACAGACGTAATGTATTTAGGTTTATTGTAAACTGATATTCATAGAAATATATTGTTATGGCTGCTTGTTGACAGACGTAAAAATTTATCCACTACCCAAAAAGTAATTAACATTTTAACATGAGTGTTCACTAATCACATAGATTATTGTTTTTTTTTTTATGGTATAGGGTGGCAAACAAGCAGACAGGTCACCTGATGGTATGCAACTATCGCCGCCCATGGACACCTGCAATTCAAAAGTAACAAGTGCTATTCTAAAATTAATATAGTTTGTTATTCTAAAATGAATAAAGTATGAGCCCATCGATGGATTAGGTAATGGGGTATTTTTATTAATTTATATATATTTTATTATATTTAGGTATATTTAATAGTGCGGATATTGTTGTATATGTTGATTTGGTAATTTCCAACTTTTGGCAATACTGTGAATAGGTCATCAATGTAGTGTAGATTAACTTTGAAAAATAAACTAGTTTATACTCTCGCCTTTTTTAAATAATAATAATCACTTCACACATCTCACACACGGCCCAGTCCCAAACTAGACGGAGATAAACATTCTTATATATTTCTAAATACATACATAATGTAGACAAATTACACCCAGACCCAGAATAACTGATCGTGTTCATCACACTATTATTGTCCTAGGTGGGAATCGAACCCACGAGCCCCGGCTTAGCAGTAGGGTCACTAACCACTCGACAAACAGATCAGTCGAAAATTATCTGATGAACTTTCTTATATCCTTAGGGATATAAGAAAATTCCTAAGGGAGAAAGTGATATACTTACTCAACTTAAAATCGATATCAGTATCTTAAACAAAATTGCACGATTTTCAGTTGCGTAGTTAAGGCTTCAAAGCTTACATAGGAACAAAAGTCAAATCTCAGCGTTCCATGGATTCACCGTGCGGGTGCCGGGTACATCGCTTTATAGATGGGGGCAAAGCATGCAACTTCGACAGCGCCTGGGACTTGCGACTCAGGTAGTAGTAGGTTTAGGGAGTACTCCTTGCGACATGTCAGCGCTCACCTCCACTGTCTGCTGTGTTACCCCCTCTCCCTAAACACATTTAATACGAGCCTAGAAATGCCGCTTTGGATATTCGTTCCAGAAAAGAGCTTACTGAAGTTTTTGGCAATCCAAGGTCTTTAAGCAGGTTATAGAGGGATTTAGCTGGTGTACCCCTCGCACCCACTTCCAATGCAATGACATAACCATTTTTAGTTATTTCCTTGGTTAAGTCAAAGTAGTTGTTTCTTTTTAAGCGTGTTCTTTGGGGATGTTCGTTTCCCACGAAACCGTGAGGTCTACTAGTACTACACGCTTAATTGAAGTTGCATAAAGAAATATGTCTGCTCTGGACGCCGAGGCACAGATATCCTCCGGTTTTCTGTAATGATTTTCATACGTGTCCTCTAATAATTTCCAGTCACTGGCGGTACTTATAATTGAGTACGGCTTTTGTGAAGTCTTTTTTGTTGAGCCTCCCTTTACAAACGCGATGTTAGTTCTTATGTTCTCAGCGATAAACTTATAGCTTCGCGTATGATTTGTAATGCCCTATCATGGCGACGTGAACTATGACTCCGGTCTAATAGCGCCTTACAACCTGTCAGTAAGAGCCTGGCTGTACCTATTTCCGTACTGCTCATCGTACAAGCCTTTTCTGTAGCTTTTCTTTTTCGTTGCTTTGATCGGGGAGAGTCATTTGAAAGGCGTTGAGGAAAAATTTTAACAGGGCAGGTGACCAATCGTATAAAAGTGTGCGCCATTTCAAAGCTGGTGGGATACAAAATTCTCCTAGAGTTAACCATTAATTCTGCATTTCTAGATTGTAGGTCTCGTTTTCATCTTCTTTTAGGAAAGATTTTTCTCTCCTTGTCGGTCTGTCTTCTAGCATTTCCCAATTCAACTCTACTGGACTGTATACCCACCTCCGATATATTTTTGTCTTGTGGAAGGGATCTAACGATTTCATTTTGTGATTTTGACAAGACATGCATTTTGGTAACTCTTAGGTGTTTGTAGAGTTCCGAAGATATTTTAATTTCATTCCAAAGTTATTCGAGCCCCTGTACCTCGTTGACGGATCTGCAGATGTTGCTAGCCCGAACCACGACTTCAATGTCTTAGTGACTTTCTCATCCAATGTTCTTAAGTTGTTCTGGTTTATATCGTATACCAAAAACGGCCAGTTGAGACGTGATGTAAAGTAAGCTCTTCTTATGTTACTTATTGGCTATTGGTCTACCTTGTCAATGTCTTTTACGAAGTCATCGACTATTGCGTTCATAAATGGAGTACGACCTTTGTAGTCTATCTTTCTTCCAAGGAATTTAAAGGGCACGGTTTCTGATATTATTGAAATACTTTCCCCACCAATAGTAATCCCGGGGTCATATGAGGTATATCTGGTACCTTAGTTTTGACCTATTTGCTATATAACTGTATATTTATAACTGTATTAAATACTACTGGTGAAAAGCAGAAACCTTGGAACAACCCTACTCTGTATTCGAGGAGTTTTGTATGTCCCTCTTTTGCTGTAATTACAAATTTTGATTTACTATAGTATGATGTAATTATTTCATAAAGTATTGTCGGAAAGTTATGCCATTTCAGGGCACGGCATTTCAATTTCTTGGACACAAACTGTATTATTTTAAATTGAAGACAGGAGAAAAATATTGTAGAAATTATATTGGTAAGGGTTATATGGTATATCTTTGCACTACATATGGTATACCACCAGGCCCAGGAGCTCATGTTGAATTTTTCTTTCTAATTTGGGTATCTACTTCTTCTAAGGTTGACGGGTTACAATCAAATATGAAACGAGGGCTTGCTGAGTTATGTGCACTTGGTTATAAGTAAATTATTAACAAAGTAATATAGTTTGGATATGAACTGCTACCATTTTGAGTATAATATTAAAATGTCCAACCCCTTTAAAAAATGGCCCGCTTCTATTTCTGTTTTCGGTCATTTAGAACATCCATCGTTCATGACTGGGTCAGAGACTATTCCGAGGCCCGCCCTTAGAGTATTACACGCACAGAATGTTCAAGACACTTATTCGCGATCTTTTTGGAAATGGTTACAAGTTACAAGGGTATTTATAAAGTTCTAAAATACCGAATAATTAAGTGATGAACTCAACCTGTAGTGTATAGTAATATGTAGGTATATTTCTTGTGGGTCAGAAACAGCTTTAACGATTTCAATTTGAATAAATACTTTCCTGAAATAATTTAAGTTCTTAAAACATATGTATAAGACTAACACACAATAATAGGGCTGCAGAAGTTTGATTCTTCGGATAAGTGGTGCTTGCAATGACAATAGCTCAGTGCTTCTGGATCCTTACACCCTAGTGCTTTTGCAAAGTCAAGAAATGAGCACCCCCTTGTGATCTAGTGGTTCCAAAGGAAAGCCTCTTCTTATGTCTTGAACCTTAGAGTGCACCTTATTAGCCTATGGGCAAGTCAGACCGACCCGCAACAATATTTATAAAAAAAAATAGAAACATGTTTGCTTCAATAATGTTTATTAAATAATATACACACATTTATAAATCTATAATACTCCTGCATCCTCCTCTTTGTAGGACAAGCCTCGGAGCTATTTCTATTATTTACACAATTTGCGGTTTACACAAGTTTTTCAATAAATACAGTAATATGGTCGATATTCATACTAACACACACTACAATATTATATAATAATTCACCCTTTGGATATCAATTTATTATACATTTTACAAGCCTCGCCTATACATTTTGGTAAGTCAATTAAGAAAATATGAAAACCGCCTTACAGTAAATAAAACTGCAGTAATATAACAATGTAATGTGAGAGAAGCAATATCATACTTAGTGGCAGTGAAGCGTCCACGAAGAATAGACCACAGGCGCTCATTTTACTAAACGAGGTACGGCTCAGCCGAATAACGTTTTTGTACAGTCGCTTTTCATCATCTGTAAAAAAAAAAAACATAACGAGATACATACGTACGTCCTCAAATACACATATACATGAACGTGCTTAAGTATATACATGCATACATAATTATATGCGAAACTAATGATCTAACCTTTAAAAAATAAAAACTTTAACTGTACCTGTGCAATCGGAATCCATCAATCGGAAGGTACAGGTTTTTACGACTTCTTCTACGGCTGCATAAAATATCTCACAATGCAAAGATAATAGCACAATTAAAGTTAAATTCTTTGTCATCATATAAACTGTTCCTGTTATTGACATCGCCAAATCCACCTACAATGGTTTTTTTATGTCAACAAAATATTTAATTAAAAATTTATAATCGTATCTATAGAATAGTGAAAGCCACTGAAAATATGCATGCATTTTGATGTTAATATTATTGCTATTATTTCTCATCAAAATTTATATGAAAAATACCCAAAAACTCTCAATATCTTAGTTTTCTTTTATGCCCTAGGGAGCAAACGAGCAAACAGGTCACCTGATGGTAAGTGACTACCGGCGTCGACACAGACAACAGAGTTGTCGGCCTTTGAATGATCTTTGAGCTCCTTAGATTTAGGAAAGCAGAATGGAGTTAGGCTACTCATTCGGTAAAAAGCAATGAAAATGTGCCTTAATTCCAGTTTTCTGTGAGGCCGTGGTGTCACTCAGGTCAGTCGGTCGTATGTGACCAAGCATGACTGTGTCAGAGCTACTCATATTTGTCGATATACATACCCAGCAGATTTAAACATCTTTACAAATTTTTTTCATTCTTTCTCTCGTCTCTAAGTATCTCAAGCACGTTTTCTTACCAATCCCGTAAAACTCATAAAAAAATTAGGTCAAAATAATTTGCACTAAAACTTCGTGCACTTACAAACTATTTATTCCTAGAAAAAGTGAAATAAGGAATGGGAGAGTGTAATTCGACCAATAATTAAGTTAAGGTAGGGTAGGTAGATAATTAAGGATTCAACGAACTTACCTGTACGTGAAGTTCTATCATAATTATACGAAGGCTTCGTCCGAAGAGATTAGCATCAAGATAACACTTGTAGTACCGCACAACATTCGCCACTTGCATCACTAGTTTGAGGTGACGTAAAGAAATTTCGACGTTTACTTGACATTAGTTCAGAGTCATTATTAGTATGGACATATTTCACGATAGGGGTTTGATATGCGTACCAGAACTTTCCTTTCCAGGGTATACCTGGTACCTGTAGACGGCTTTCGGGTTTTGGTTGGTTCAAGTCCGACAGAATCCCACAAAAAAGGGGTTTGATATGGGAGGGAGAGATGCTAATCTCTTCGGACGAAGCCTTCCTATAATTATAATAGAACCTCACGTACGGGATCGTTTAATCCTTAATTATACTCGGCTTCTTCCTCTTAGATTAGCATCAATATAACACTTGTATACTTTTAAAATTCTACATCGTGAAATATTGCAGATAAACAGAATAAAAAGACTTGAACTTTTGTTTCAAATCAGCTCTTTATATAAATATTATAAGAACTATAGTATATAGTAATAAATAACTAATATTACCTAATATAGAACACTTTCAGGTATAAAAATTAAATTCACTTAAAATGAAGTGCTTAAAGACAAATTTATATCATTACAATTAAGTTGGTAACAAAATTATGGCTCGTGCGAAAGTGTCATCATAGGTGTTACTGTCCAATGATCTGTCATAGAACTGAAAGAAAGTTTCTTGAATTACCACATTCACAATTTTTTGGAAACTGATATCTGAGAGTTCTCACTCAATGTTAGGGTGAACTCGCCTGGACTTAGTATCTGCCCCTGTGTTATTTGTCGATCGAATATAGGAGACAAACACATGTATACTGCGACGCTTGCACCACCGCCACAGGGTTTTAGTGACCTCTGTTAGGTACAGGTATTGGATACCCCCCATGCGATTAATAAATGATATTGCTATCCTATTGTCTATTCGCATTAAAAGCTAAAAGTTGGATAATCCTTTGGCCAATATTTTTAAACCAAAAAATGTAGCCAATATCTCTAAATAATTAATATGCTGGGAGAATTCCTCAGTACTCCACAAACCACTTGCTCTGCCCTCACCACAAGCCACGCTCCACCCCGTTCTTGGGGCGTCTGAGAAGATCTCCAGGTCTCCTGCTTGATGCATCTCACAGAACACCCAATCGCCCTATCCCACCAGTCCAAGTCTGATAGATTAGAATTCGGCACATACCTCATTTTGTCGTAATTATCGTTACCTTGTAAACTTCAAAATTTAATTCTTTCAAATAACTTTGTGTACAGCTAACTTTGTGTATAGCTAGCTACTTATTGATTGTAACTTTTTAATTTCGTTTTTGATACGATAAATTTTATCTAAAAGCAAGCTGACCTGAAGCTTCATCGATATTGTAGCCGAGAAATTGACAATGTTTGTTCGGCGTGACACAACTTTTTTCATTATTTATATTAAAACCAAGACCGGTGAGCAATTTTTGAGTTTGTTCAACATTTTCTATGCAACAATAGTAAGATCGTGCGATGAGAAGCCAGTCATCCAAGTACACTGGGGATATCAGCTCTTCTGACCGCAAAACTTTGGCCACTGGTTTCATTATTTTTGTGAACACAGGGCGCCGTACTGAAACCGAATGTGGTTCCATTGAAAACGTAGATATTTTTTGGTAGTCTTCATGAATTTTATCAAAAAATATGTGTCAGGCTGATTTTTGTCATAAACACAAACAGTCACGATAAATAAGTTTTAGGACCTTGCGAAAATCTTCATGTTTAAAATGTTGTGTGTCTGTAAAATTATTCAAACTTTTTAAATTTAAGATAAATCCTCATTTTACCATTCGGTTTCGGCTCTAGAAACACATTAGATAAAAATTTACCATTACTCGGTTGACATATTGAGCTTGCATCGATGGAAATTAAGTTTCTGATTGCATTCTCAAAGTGTACTACATATTTCCAAACTAGAACACGTTCTAGGGGGTGGAGGACAAAGCTAAACAACTTTTTCAAAGGGATTTTATATCGGATATTTGTGATGAGCGACCATTCATCAACAAAATAAGCTAGTCTACCAGCAAATTTTACCTCAGTCGTCAGCGACGGCTGTGAAGCCGACTTTACGACGTCTTCGATGAGCTGGCACGCTGACTCTTCGTCGCTGCTGGAGCTGTCTCGCGAGGAGGAGGATTCGTCTTCCAGTTTTTTGACTATGACGTGGGCTTCGTAAACATCTTGCTGGGGACCGGTTGGTTCAGTAATAATCTTCAATTCTGATTTGTTTATCGCCTTAGCGGCTTTTAAAGTATCAGGGAGTATATCCCCGAATAAAAAAATATCGGTCTTGGCACTCTGAAGGGATTCCTTCATGTCTTTTTTGATGGAACTAATTACTTAGTTACGTCTAGTCAATGTATCACTATGTCGACAATCACACAACATGCGACCCGTATCCATTAGAAGACGTAACAAGGTAGTATGTTTCTCTTCAGAAGACATTGTCAGAGAGCAGAGCAGAGAGAGCAGCAGCAGTAACTTTTTGCTTGGCTTCAATAACTTTATCTTTTTTTATGTCAGGTTCAGATAAGGAGCTTTGAGCTCCAGGTTCATAACTGGAGCACCAAAAAGTTTGCAGTTACTCGGGACAAAGTAAGTGTCTACTAGCTCCTTTCGAGTGTCTTTTGACAACCCCTCTATCGCACTGTGTTCTAAACGAACGGCGAGATTCTTTTTGATTTCATTGTGATATTTTTTAGCTGTTGTGGGATCGACCCCCAGAATTTCCAGGACTTCCACATCCAGTGTATTCTGTTCGGTGTCGGCCGCATCGACAGATTCAGCCGCGTAGGCCGTCCCGGCCATGTCGGCAGTGTCGGCGGTGTTAGCAACATCAGTGACATTAAAACACGCAGGCCTTTCTTCCTTTTTGATATATTTACTTTATTAACGCAGTCAAACAACTTAAACACTGAATTTAAATCTATTTAACGAAATGCATGCAAAGTGGCAAATCACTAGAACGCGAATGAAGTGGCGCGAACGAGCAGATGTCAAATAAACGTCAAAATTTATTTACGTCACCTTAAATTAGTGTTGCAAGTGGCGATTACTGCGCGGTGCTACAAGTGTTATATTGATGCTGATCTAGGAGGACGAAGCCGAGTATAACGATCTAATCTATCGCGAGAATTTTATTTAAAATAAATTAGATCTACACTTTTCCCGTTGGGTATTTTTTTTAAACTATAAATGTCATGAAATTAACAATATTCTTATATTGATAAAACTAACAACAAACTGGTTAAAAACTGTAACAAAGCAAAACGGCTCTTAACAAATTACAACTTACAATGCTGAACGTATTTTTAACTCTTTCCAAGTGTATGTGAACATTTGTTAAACCTCGACAGAACGTGCCAGCAGAGTACAACAGAACCTGTAAATATAAGGAGCCATAAATAACATAATTAAAATTGAGTCCAGGATCTAATGAAATTGAAAATTATTTAAAATTTAAATTTAATATTTCTATTTACAACAATTCAATTTAAACTAGTGCACTAGTTTTAATTTTTAATTTTGAATGTATTAGGAATCTACTAACACAAAACTCATCAGAATGCTTAACCTCTATAAAATACCTAATTATTGAAACACAAACAAAAATAAAATAAGAAAAAGGATGTAGTCTCTGCATTTTTGTTGCTGTTGCCCTGTACTGTACTATTAGTTTTAACTACGTTCAAATTCTAGAAGTAGAAAGCCATCTCAAAACACTTGTTTTTGGTCTGTTGTCTGTCTTGTTGTCTTCTGCTAACAAACCATTACTGAATCGATGATAATCAAGTAGAATTTGCTGCATCTTTTTATAATACCTGCTTTGTCGCTCTTCCTACCATGTGGAATCTATTTCAGTGTTGTAAATAGATCCAAAATTGATCAAACTTTTTGACCTAACTATACAATTTTTAAATGAGTATGTTGAAAATTCTATTACTTCTTAAAACAAATATCATAATTACCATAGTTTCAAAAATATCTTTGTATAAAATATAAGCCTGTATAAATGTTTTATATGTTTCAAACACTTGAATACTGTTCTTATGGTGACCGAGAATGTGCTTTTTCCAATTGATTAAAAATTTTCGTAGTAGTGTTATAATTTGTATTGCATAAACTACGTTTAAGTTGGTAATTTCCCATAGTATCGTAATAGAAAATATTAAAAAACCAAAAAAGTGACCCCAGATGGCAAAACATATAGTTATCAGTAAAGCCACAAACAAAATACTCAAACTAGATATCCAGTTACAAATAATATAACGCTTTTTATATTTCTCACTTAAAATAACCCTTTCTTGGATCATTTGAATCGTCAATATTAGCAATATATTATTTTCACTATGTATTATATTAAAAATTAAGGAAGCAGCCATATCAAATGTCAATAATACCGAAAGAACATACAATAAAATACTTTGGGTACTACTATGAAAATAGTTGATTAGCACAAAATCCCTACATACAACTCTGTACCAATATATAACAAATAAAACTGTCATTATTAAAGATACTATTATATTAACTTTCTTGTCATTAGGGTAAATAAAATTGTCTTTTATTTTAAATTTGAAAGAAAGTAAAATATTCTGGACCAAATAAAAAGGATAGAACATTTTCTGAATATCAGTTTTCAAATTATTCTTCAGTAAAATTTCTTCAGGTACTGCAAAATGATTTATTGGCAACACTTTCGTTTTCATTCTATTTTGTGTATTGATTATTGAATTCATCGTTTCTAAACTTATGTGTATACTCTTCAACGAAAAAAGTAAAATGTTATAAAGTAAGAAATATTTTTTCCACTGTTGACCTATCAGGCTTAAGTGGATACTGATATTTACACATAAATATTAGTACATACTTCTACTTCGATATCCGTAATTAATTAAATCCAATAAAGGAAAAAGGAAAAACTGTAAAATGTTAAAAAGATATGGGAAAGGCACAAACTTTTTGACACCTGTTATATAAAATTAAATAGCAGTGAATCTAACTCTTCCTTATCACAGATTTTGTAATTCATTAAAAAATTGGCTAATAGCAGAGTGCTTTTACTCCGTCAATGATTTTTTTTTAAAGTACTCTACTCAGTCATATCACTTCAGAAATGCATTAGTGTAGTAATTATTTTTAATATGATTTTTGATATTTCAATTGCAATGTAATGTAATTTTATTTTAATTTTATTTCATAATTTTACCTATACAATTTTAAAAATTTGCATGCTATCTAAATATAGCGAAATGTGTCTTGTGCTTTAAACATTATAAACCTCCTACTGTGACTACCACATTTTCTGCAAATAAATATATTATTATTAAATATATTATTTTAAAAAAAAAAACAAAAAAAAAAACTAATATATAATTTTGGCAAACGTAGTGTAGGGCGCCCTGCGGCACGATGGACCGACAACTTGAGGAAAGTGGCTGGCAACGGATGGATGCGGACTACCCAAAACCGGCGGATAGTTGGCGCTTTTCGGCATCGTATCTTGCATTATAGGCTGATAATGATGAAAGCGGTAGACATTCTACGTAGCTAGATAAAACATATGGAAAATATACTGTTTCTCTAATCTATTAATAACTGACTTATTTTACTGTAATTTATTCAGGTGCTCACAGTGAAAAAAGTCTATTAGAATTTTATTAGATATTTATCTACTTATTACTTCTTCGTTGGTCACGGTGAAATAATATGTTGGAATCGAACCGACTTAAACCACACGAAGTTCCGTCAAGAAAGGAGAGGAAGGAAATCCCCGAGAAGAGATAGAGGTCGTGGGTTCGATTACCATAAAGGAAAAGTAGTTGTGTAATAATTTGTTCTATATCTGGGTGTAATTTATCTATAATATGTGTATTTAGTAATCTATAGGTATGTTAATCAGCAGTCTGCTTATCATATTATAGGGTCTAGATAGTCTGAGATCAGACGTCCATTTGTGGGATGTCTCAAGTTATTATTATTTTTAATTTATGTTTCATTGAATGTTTCCACACTTTAATAACAACAAAAATACAAAACCTTGCTCTTATCACATCGAGTATTTCTCAACCACAAACAATTATAATGAATGGTAGACATAATAATTTATTGACTGTCTCGTAATAATAATATTGGAACAATAATTGCTCCGCTAAGGAGGCATTAACATATTATATCGGTGGATGTTTATTAAATTCGTGGGTAGGTATACGGTTTACTTAACGTCACTATAATTGACAAGTTATAACTTAGGTGAATGTCGATAAAATTGAGATGTAGGGTGAACCAATACATAAAAAATTACTTGCCCTGACTGACAAAATTATTGACGCAGAGACTAAACCACTGAGGCTACAAATTTAAAATTTTAGCAGTTGATAAATTGTATGTTGTAAGCATATATGCCATATATGGGTATACCCACCCACTAACGGTGCTTACAATAATCATATACCTACAGTTATATATTTCCTCTAGTAAAGGATTTTTGGAAATTTCACCCCTAAGAGGGTAAAATAATTGGTGGAAGTTCGTCATTATCAAAGTTAGAAACACGAGAAATAAAATACGATAAAACACGTGGTGTAAAATACTTAATTCATTAAGTTTTCAAAAATTCTCTAACATCTATGCGATTACATCATGATGATTTGTAATAAACTGTCTTTGTAAATAACTTCCTCATATCTTAATTATGCCATCTTTGGGAGGGTACTTTTTGCTTAAAATGGGACCAAACTGGAACAACATCGTCCCAAATCAAAGAATTTTCGAAATCGATTTGTAAATGACAGAGTTCCGAGGTTACAGATATATAAAAACAGTACAACTAAATTGAAAACTTTCACTTTTTTGAAGCCCGTTAAAAATATAGTTTAATCTTTTAATTTACCATGGATTTTTTCAAATCAAGGGTCGACCCTGTGGAGGAATGGGTTTCATATCCTTCCAACACACACTTAACTGCACGGATGGCGTAGTGATTTAAGTGGCCACCTGGCTGCTTCCCACTGCGCTGAGTGTTGTGGGTTCGAGCCCACATGGGACAAAACTTTGTGTGATCCACAAAGTGTTGTTCTGAGTGTGGGTGTTGTTTGGATAAAAAAGAAAAGAAACACAAAGGAAGGATCCTCCGACCAGGCGAGGTTATCATGCCTGACGGACCGCCCAACGATGTTGAGAAGTTGTAAATATGCTAAACGGAAATGAGCTGGACAAAACTATTCATATCACGATACAGGATTAGCAGTTCCTATGTAATTCGCTGTGACTTCGTTAGATGGCGCTGCAGTATATTCCTTCATTTTACCGTATGTGAGAGTTGCCACAAACCCCACTTGGCAATCAAATGAAACTTAAAATATCAATAATATAATGATGATAACGATTTGCTCATATCCATTTCAGGAATGCAACGCATATAATTGTCGCTACATGACACTTCACCACTTAACAAAGGGCGCCATCGGGTCTGAGACTAGTTGCGTACCGCCGAAATATAGACGCAAATAAAACAGTGCAAATTTTGATTAAATATGAATACTAATAAAAGTTAAGCCAAGGTTTTAGCGGACTAGAGTCTGGGGGATAGCGTAAGTGAATTTAAGTCAGAGTTACCGTAAGTCACGGATCAGAAATAGGACTAAGACTGCAATAAATCGAAGAGACTACCTGTATGTCATTCCTGTAATTGGACATTCCATTGCCACAGGAACATTAATTAGCCATCGAAATGGAATAAAAAATCCATTCAAATGGCTCTATTAGGATTAGACAATAATCATTTATGTGTTCATAATCGTGCTACA